AAAACTTGTCGATATTTTTTTATATTATTTTTGGGAAGATCGGCCACCCCTAACTTCCATATGACTTCAGTGTGTATGTAAATGTGTGTATTTTCGGGGGCTGAAATAACAGCCCATCACCAAGCCAGTTTCAGGTCATCTTCTGTCATCTGATTTTGGAGAATTAACAAAAAGTTGACTTCTTGTTTTCTGAGTTGGTAACTCTTTGTTTTGTTTGTTTTTTTCCCCCAACATGGATTATGTTAGGGAAAAATGTTCAATATTTTTATTATGGTAACTCATTCTTGCAGTTTTTTGTAACTTCAAATTGTCTTTAAAAATATATATCCAAGAATCTTTGCCAACTCTGTTACCTTATGGTTCTCTTTAAAGCTGTGGCATCAAATTTATATGTCAGTTATATAAACGTCATGGAATGATGTCACTTCACCTTACTGATAAAGAATAAAAAATCCATACATACATACATTTTGCAGTGTTTACTGACTAAATTATAATAGTGTTCAGTTATAAATGTCCCAATTATAATTTAATTGGCACATTTTATACCTAAAAGAATGATAGTTCTTAAAGAGTTTAGGTAAGAAATGTTTGTTCCTACACAAACAATCCTGTTAATAGTTACGGTTTTTTTTTTTTCACATTTTATGTATTTTTCAGTGAGTATTTCAGAAATATTTCAATCTGACACATTAGGGAAATAAGAGTTTATGTTATGAAATAAAATAATTTAGTCTATTTGAATTTCTTGCTTTTTTCCACATATTGTCTATGATGTTCTTACCAATGTTGTATCATACTGTAACAATTTTTTCCTGAAAAAAAAGTAAGAAAAATATGTAGTTAATGTTTAACAATTATTAATTTATCTAAGTTTATTGTCAGTAGAATAAAACACCTAAAAATAAAAAGGAAATGAAGTTGGGTTATTTTCATATCTTAAAATGGCAAATGCACATTGAATTATACAGCCATGTAAATATGTTCATGAATACGCCCCTGTAAAGATGTGTGTTTATCAATGCCATTATATAAAAATGATTGATCAGAATCAGTTGTATCAAATGTAAACATTGTGCTCTTTACCTCAGAAAGTCCAAAACAATAAAATAATCACATTAAAAAGTTAGAAATGTTGTCTTTTGCGCTTTTCTATTTTCTATTTTATTCCCAAATATATTAGTGTGTGTGAGAGAATATGTCAGTGACAGGCATTAACTTAAAATACTTTGTATAACGGTTCTTTATGAAGTTCGGTCCATTACTGGCAGACCCATCATCTCCTCTCTGGAGGGTGCTGTATCACGGCATCGAGGCGTCTATGTACTTTGCCATAATTATTTCTTGAATTCATAGTTGCCAGCTAGAGTTGCAAGGCTTTCTTGCCTTGGGGTGGAAAACTGGGGTCAACCCCAGTAGATCTGCCCCTGTTTATATGAATTCTGTATGAAATACAAGTTTGACTGTAAGTGATTAAAACTGTAGACAAGCAGATTTATACCGTCAATTCTTAGTGAGAGAAGTTCCCTGTACCACGATGGTGGCTGTGTTGATGCCTCCAGCCAGTGACCAACAGTCTAGAAACTACATCATGATTCCACATTGACAGCTTTGTTGTGGAAATGAAATGTGGTGCTCAGTGGGTGGAGGGTCAGATGGATCACAGAGTTTGCTCCACCTTCCGCCGTCTGAGTCAGCCTCTTCAGCTAACAGCACAGGTCAGCCTGGAACACTTCATCTTATCATGAGTTTTATTCAGACTGAACATCTGTCATCACTGGACATTTCACTCTGGATCTGCTGTACAATTCTTTGAAGTATTTCAGAGCAATCAGCTTGCTAACTGGGTTTGAGCTGGAATCTTCTACAGCTGCACTTCAGTTTATGACAGGAATGGACTCAGAGAAAGTCAGCTGAACCTTCTGAGCACCAAGAATGGGCTTCTATTATGAATGTAAGGTTTTAAAACTTTTGAAAGCAGTTTGTTATGGATTATACGGATCTGAAAATCGTGTGAATTGTCACTAAAAAAATAAAAAAGCAGAGCAAACAAAGCACTTGTTATTTGTCTGAACTTTTGACCTTCAACCGAGAGAAGAAGAATGCAGCATCTATTTTATGCTTTTAAACTCATTTGATGTTCATCACTTGTGGTCATCTTTATGAAATGTGTAGGCATTAACAACTTATGTATCCTCTATTTTTTGGCACAAATGATTTGACTGAATTACCGTAAAGTTTATCAAAGCACTTAGACATATTTAGACATATGTAAACCCAGATAAAAAGGAAAATTAATTAACCTGTTTATTTCTGTTTTTGATTTGATTTATTGTATGTGTTTATGGAGTTGGAATTCATACGTTTCTTACTTCTTCCTGCTCATTTTCAAGCATATTAAGATTGCTGTGGTACGAAAATGTGTCTTTTCAAACATCCATCCATTTTCTAACACCCTTGTCCCTCAGTGGGATCAGGAGGGCTGCTGCTGTCTTTCTCCAGCTAACGTTCCGGGCGAGAGGCGGGGTCACCCTGGACAGGTCTCTAGTCTGTCGCAGGGCAACACAGAACACGCAACCATGCACACACACACTCACACCTAGAGAGGCCAATTAACCTGACAGTCATGTTTTTGGACTGTGGGAGGAAGCCAGAGTACCTGGAGAGAAGCCACCATGCACAGGGAGAACATGCAAACTCCATGCAGAAAGACCGGGGCCGGGAATCAAACCCAGAACCTCCTTGCTGCAAAGCAACAACTCTACCAACTTCACAGCCCTCTTTTTGAACATGATAGTATAAAATCATCTTGTTCTTGTGCATGATTTTATACTACTATCATGTTCTCAATAAATAAATAAAAATAAACATATTTACACTGCCTTGTCAGTGATACACCTTGAACCTCCTGATATTTGTCACATTACTACAATAAACACTTATTTAATGTGGAACTGAGGTGGAACCATAGTAATGTGGTTTTAAAAGTTCTTTAAAAATACAAGTTCTGTCAGTACGGATTCAGTGTTCACCTTTGCAAAACAGGGACACAGAAATGATTTCCCTGTTCTGAAGGTTCAGCTGATTTCAGAGTCTAGCCCTTTCATGCATAGTGGTCACTACAGTGGACAGCTATCTAATAGCCATTTTCTTGTGCTTCTTGTGGATTTTTATGTTATAAATGCACACAGACCACTGAAGTGGACACTAATACATCATAAAATACACTATCAACTACTTTTTGTTAAATCCAATATGGCCGACAGACAAAGAAGCATGCCAACCTTTCTACCTAAAGAACAATACTACTGATGTATTTTTCAAATAACAACTTTGTATTTGGAGAAAATTACAATTGATCACCTAAAAAAAATGCAATAAAATAATTTTTTTACCAAATTTTTTTCCTACCTTTTTTTATGCCTTAAGAAAAAAAGGGGGACAAAAATCCTTATACAAAGGATCATAATTCATGCATGAAAGGGCTAGTCTTCATCTGTCAGTCGAACTCCAGCTCAACTGCAGTCCAGGAGATGGACATCCAGCTAAAGTAACGGGTCGGGCAGGGAGAACAGGAGTCAGAGGAGCACGGAAAAGGCCCAGGGTGACTCTGGAGGAGCTGCAGAGAGACACAGCTCAGGTGGAGAAAAATGTTTAGAGAACAATTGTACTCTCCAAATCTGAGCTTTGCAAGGTTGGAACATTTACATTGTTAATATAAAGCCATTAAATGTTTTTTTTTCTTTAAACCAGGTAGGAGACACAGAGAACAAGTGGGAGAAAATTCTCAGAATGTGTTGGCTAACAAAACCTGTGGTGACACATGGAAATGGCATAATCATGCTATGGAGTGCTTCTCTTCAGCAGGGACAGATAAGGTGGTCAGAGTTGATGGGAAGATGGATGGAGCTCAATCCAGGAGAATCCTGGAAGAAAAGTCATTGAAGGCTGGAGGAGATTAGGGCTCACTGGGGATACTCGTCTTGCAATTTGAAAGTTGTGGGTTTTATTCTATAAATCCTCTTACCACATGTTGATATGCTGCTGGGCAAGGCACATAACCTTAAGTTGCCTCTGGATTTGCGTCTTGGTGTCAGAATGGGATTACAAATGGATAACTGTGGCTATAGTGTATGACACTTTATGGGGTTGTTATGATTAGAAAAGTGCTGTATAATTCAGTTCATTTACCATTAAATAGAAGGTCAATATCAAAGAATATGCATGTGTTAGAAAGGCCTAGTCAAAGTCCAGACCTAAATCAAACTGAGAAGTGGCAAGACTAGAAAATCTGACTGAGTTGGATGAGCTGATTGAAAAAAATATTCACCCACTAGACCCCAGCTTTGGACGGGGGTCTACCAGTCCCCTTGTCCCCCCACCCTGTAGCTGTAACTGTGACAAAAGGTGGTTCTGTAAAATATTGACTCAGGGAGAGGAATGTAAACATATCTACCAGTTTAATACGTTTTGTTTGTGAAAACCATGTATAGTGTTCTCTCCATGTCACAATTTTCCACACCTGTCTTGGTCTAGTTCATGAAATCTCAGTAGAATACACTGGCTCTGTGTTTGTAATGAGGTATAGAGTGAAAATAGTTCTTATTCACAAACTTTTTATGCATGTCTTTCTTTATGCCACATCTCTGATCTTAGCATAACTGTCCCATCTCCTGTCATCTGATTGAAATTAAAAGAAAACAATTTGCATTACTAATTATGCAAATGTTTGAGTTTTTGAATAATTGCCTCATGAATGTTAAGTTCAGTGTTCAGTGGGCCAGAGAGCTGTCTGGGCCAGAGGTACTGGTCAGTCCATATTAGGCCTGGAAGGTCACTGCAGGGCCTGGAGGGGTTAAGACCCCCCCTCACTGCCTTTTTTTTTGTTCCCATGGTCAAGGAATGGGCAGCAAAAGGGAGGAGGCCAGCGGGGCGCAAGCTGAAACCAGAGCGTCACATGGTGTGGTCTCTGAGTCAGAGCATTGCAGAAGTAATAAGACAAAGAAGACTTTGAAGTACTACTGAAGCAGGCTTTACTATCTTATCTTTGATGAGATGAAACATTATCCAGTGGCATTGGTTAGGAATCATCAATACAGCAAATACTGATTCAGGGAGGCTTGAATCAATAATACTGATTTTTTTATTTTCATTTTGAGGGAACAAAAGGACAATATTGAGGTAAAATATGTTCTGTGGAACGGATTCATACACACTTTGCCATGTAGAGAATTAAAGTCAATTCTTTGGACGGCTCCATGACTGTGCTGAAGGTAAAACTGCTGGATTGAGTCATTAGCAGGTTCAAACTGCCAATTTAAACAGCAGAGGGCAGCATACGCAGCGTAAAACAAGGGAACAAAACCACTACAATACTTTATTTTTCAGAGCATTTCAGAGTCAGTGCTAATTAACAAGGACTAGAGCAGAGAAAGTGCACAGACCTGAACACAGGCTACTCATTTCTGAGCCTGTCCTCAACAGCCCAGGAGCGGGATTCAGTTTGTCATAGATTAGAAGGATTTCAGGACTGCAGGGGCGAGGGCGCCCCAGCTGGGTCATGCAGCTTTCTGATGTGTTTCTTCAGGTCAAAGTTCCTGCAGAAGCCTTTGCCACAGGTGGGGCAGGTGAATGGCTTCTTGTCATTGTGAGTGTGCATATGAAAGGTGAGGTTGTACACCTGGTGGAACGCCTTGCTGCAGATGGAGCACTTGAACTGCTTCTCTCCACTGTGTGTCAGCTTGTGGTTCTTGTAGTTTCCTGCAGAGAACAAGCAACTTTTTAACATTCATCACAAAATTCCTTCGATTCAACATAAGACAACCAAATTGATACATAAAAATAATGTCAAGGGATTTTATATAACATCAAAGTGTTTATGTATTCTTTCACCCTTAAATCTCCCTGGGAACCATTTAGAGGTGCCAAAGCGATTGCTCTCACAAAGCCCCGCCTATTTACTTAAAGCTCCTCCTAAGAGCTGTAGTCTCCAGCTGAGACCCCACTCCACACATCCAGAAAACCTCACATCTGCTGAGCTTTTCATACAAAATACTTCTCAATCCAATACTCCTCAGAACGGCTCTAAACGGCATTATGGAAGAGCATTATTGCAATGATGAAGGGGGAGTGTTGGAGAGAATAAGAGCTTCTTAAAGAAACACAGGCCAATTTCAAGGAACTAAAGGAAACACAGTGACTTTATTATGCTACAAAATTCCATTATATGTGCCTGGACAATGCATAACACTCCTTTACAGATTTAGAATAAATCAGATTTTGTCTGTTTTTACATTTTTGATAAATAAAACCAGTTTAAACAGCAGACAAAGATAACCTGAGTAAACACAGAGAGCAGTTCTCAGATGATGATTTATCTTTATTGAGAGAAAAATGAGACGTGGCTCTTCACCACCGTTACATTTCCGATCACTCAGGTCTGCCTACCAGCAGCTCCTAGAGGAAAACGGCCTTCTCTGTTTCTGCCCCTAAGCTTTGGAATGCAACCATTACATATTCAACCATTACATATTCAACCATTACATATTCAACCATTACATATTCAACCATTACATATTCAACCATTACATATTCAACCATTACATATT